AACAGGTTTGGAGCGGGTTGGAGGGGAGGGGTCGTCCGCGCGCGCGCGCGCCAAGAGCGGCGCCTTGCAAGAAGCCGGCTCCAAGGGGGGTCAAGCGCAGCCTCTTGTGCCGCTCGGGGGGAATCCAGCCCAGGCGACCATCCCCCCCCACCGAAGGCTTAATTCAAACCAGACCGCGGAGGCTCCTGACTGGTCTGGAAGGCTTCTCTCAGCCCCCCCGCTCCTTGTACTTCGCAGGAGCGCGCGCGCGCCAAGAGCGGCGCCTTGCAAGAAGCCGGCTCCAAGGGGGGTCAAGCGCAGCCTCTTGTGCCGCTCGGGGGGAATCCAGCCCAGGCGACCATCCCCCCCCACCGAAGGCTTAATTCAAACCAGACCGCGGAGGCTCCTGACTGGTCTGGAAGGCTTCTCTCAGCCCCCCCGCTCCTTGTACTTCGCAGGATACTTTCCATGCTCGGAGCAAGCCGCGGCCTCTTTCCGCTCCCGGGCTGCGAACTCTCTTCCCTCAAGTTGAGGCTTCGGGACCACCGAGCCTTCGGGCCGAGCGACCGACCGCCCGTCGCAGCTCGTGCCCGGCTCTGCTCCCCTCTGTGCTCTAAATTGTTCTCAATGCCGGCTGTCGGGGACGGGGCAGGCGGGGGGGGGAGGCGGAAGAGCTGCCAGATTGCTTAGAAGGATGTTCTCAGGTTGGTCCCTTTGTGGCAGATGAACCCGAAAGTGAGTGGGGAGTATGGTCTCACGGGTTAAAACCAAATTCCATGGGCGCGGCGCCACGCGGGGTAGTAGCTCCCAAGTTACGGGTGTGATGGGTGCTGTGTAGGGGAGGCACGTGTGTGTGTGTGTTTCAACACTGGTTTTTGGTGGAGGGAAATTCCTGCCATTTCTGGAAACAGGTCACACAGATCAAATGAGATTTGAATCGATGCATCACAGCAGCCTTGTTGTATTTCATTTATGACAGGACAGTTAAATTTATCCCTATGCCGTTCAGCAGTAATGAGCTGGGAGAAGAAGTGTTGATTGAAAATTACAACAGCGACATAGGTGCCTTATGACAGGCTTCTGGGGGCTCTTTTCTGATAAGTAGCCGATCCCTAATGCTCTTGGAGGACCATTGCTTTAATCCATAGAGGTACAGGATCTTAAGCTGATCTTGCAATTGAAAGCAATCCCAGTCCACATGAGAGAAAAAGAAATTGGCCTTATGACTGATACTCGGGTAGAGAGAGCTTCCCAGACTCTCCCTTTACAACATATATTCATCCTTAAAACAATGGGGTAGGGTTTTAAAATGCAGGAAACAGCAGAACTATTCAGCACCCAAGCTTGGAGGCAGAACAGGAATACATCTACAAAGAGATTTCTCTACTTTCGTTGCTTGCACAAGGAAGAATCTTATGTCTGTCATACATAAGTGGAGTAATGTTCTCACACACCCCCCCCAATCTCTTAAGACTTTAACTAAATAGTTCAGATGCCAGCTGGCACTTGAAAGTAATATGGAGCCATGAAGATTTTCTAGTACATTCCCCCCCCCCCCCCGCTGATGTCCTGGCAATTAAACATAATGAGGGACTTGGTTTTGAAGACTGTTAGGAGCATTGGGGAATTGGCTTGTATCAAAGTGTATGAAATATTGTAGGATTTAACCATCTCTTGGTTTCGTTCTGTCATTGTTGTGATCATAACCTCCAATCTGGACATCCTTCCTTGGACCAACTGTGGCCACTGCCTTCATAATAATCTGTTGCTGACTGCTCACTGTCCTCTTAGCAAGGGACTCAGTTGAGCCCGGTGTGTTCTCTCATTTCATATTCACACTGGTGCAGCGTTGCCTAGCTTAAAAGCTGGAAACGGAGTGCTTTGGGAACCCCTCTCCCCCACCATGATGGCTAAAGTCGGTAATAGTGGATTTTTCTTCTATTGGATATTTGTGCTTAGTTAGTGAAACAGGAGATACATTTTTGTGTGTTTCTTAAAGGTGACATTTTGTGTGTTGAGCTGGTGTCTGTATTTGCAGCCTTACCCATTACAGTACATTAGACTAGTCAAACTGGAGCAATACAGTACAGTAGGTATTATACTAAAGCTTGATGAGGCCCGTTTCCTGTTTATGGCAACCAGCAGGTGTCACCCGTGAATAACAGTCTTTACCTTCTACTTCACTGCCACTCCCTGAGTCCTCTCTAACTTGCAAAACTGTGTGTTGAAACCACTTCACTTTTAAGAAGAAAATCACGTAATTGCATCTGAAACAGTCAGGTGGCGTAACTACCGCAACAGCATGCCTTTTTCTCCCAGGCAAAGCATAAACTGTTTGATATTTATAAATGACATATCACAATTGTTGTGCAAGGACTACCCGGTGTCTGTTTTGGCAATATAATCTTAAACATATTTAGCAAGTCACATATGCATGCACAAATCACATTCTGTTTCAGGTCCTTCTTTTCTGGAGGTATCTCCAGCCTCCCCAATTGAGATGTTGTATATTCTCAGCGGGAGAAGGAATTGGGCAAAATCAGGTCCAGTGTCCCTTCATATCCATGATCTTGGACTCTGGTTGCTTGATGCTTAAAAGCTGGCAGCTTTTAAGCATGTGTGGTGCAGAGGTGCCTAGTAATTTGATTTTTTTTTCCTGGTATCTGATACGACACAGAAAAGCATGGCTAAGGAAGGAAGGCATCATGTAGTACACATGTGTGTACTGACTGGTCATAAAATCCATTTTGCAAAGTCACATCTAGAGTAGACTGCCTTATATATCATTCCCACAGTACACTCTAGTTTCAGCTCCAGTTAGGTTGTAAGTGCTTTTTTCCCAAAAAACTAGCACATACATTTTGTTGAAAGCACGTGAATGTTCTTGAATATAATGCTGTCCTTCCAGAAGGATTTGTGTCCAAGAGGTTGACTTCCTGGCTATACAAGGTTTTGATCCAAGTAATTAAAATGTCTTGATGATTTGAATACTGCAGAATTTGCTGCTGAAGGTATCGTTGACTTCTCTGTACTGCATGCTCAGGAAACCTGCCATATTCATTTACTAAGAGAGAGAGAGAGATAATTCCCCAGTTGATTCTTTTCTATTGTGTATATGGAAACTGCCACATTGAATGACTTTTCTTTAGAAGTATACACAAAATATATACAGGGTAGCGTTGTGGATTCCAAATGATCCATTGTGAACACCACTTGTCTGTATCTACATTAGCAGTCAAACATTCTAACTCTGAAATCTGACTTGAGTGATTTTCTGGAGCAAAGTTTGAATGAATGCTGTTTATGACTGAGGTGTATGCAATAAAACTCTGTGAATTTATGTGATAAAGTGTTGTGAAGCTGTGCCTCAGATCTCATTGGTCTGTTACGTGGTAGTGCTGGAAAAGGTCAACTTTTAGTAATTGAGGTGTCTGGGATGGAAAGAGGAGAGGCCTTTTTTTCTATTGGTACTATTATTTCAGAAGTGAATGGAAAGAACTTCCACCCCTGTGTGCAACTCTTAAAGATCGCGTTGCATGTTGCTCTCAAAGGCATAGCTGTATCAATCCGTTTCAACAGCATAAGAAAAAGTATTGTGGCACTGTAAAGATGATTTTTTTTCAGTGTGAGCCTTGTTGATTATGATCAATCATAATCCACAGAAAAACATACTGAAATAAATGTGCTAGTCTTTAAGGACCTGCAGTGCTTTTGTTTCCCCACCCCATATTGCGTAAAACTGGTAGTGGTGAGTGACAGTTTTGCAATTTAAGATTATTCACTGCTGTCCTGTGTACCTAAATCTGCTTGATGCCAAAGAAAGCTGAGATTTGTTGAGAGAGTCAATGCTGCTTCTATTACAGAAAGAAGATTACAGGGGGTCCCAACCTTGGGTTCCCAGATGTTCGTGGACTACAACTCCCAGAAGCCTCCATCACTAACTGTGCTGGCCAGGGTTTCTGGGAGTTGTAGTCTTAAGAACATCTGGGGACCCAAGGTTAGGAACCACTGCTCTGTGGTATGAACCCCTTTTAGTAGGAAGGGAAACTGGTCCCGAAGAAGAACTGGAGATTTCTCACAGTGTTCTGGCTAAAAATTCCAGTAGACAAATTGTACTGCATTCTAGAAATAAGTGGAATCTTGGTTGGTTTCTTAACCAGAAATTCCAAAAGGTAAGCCCAACATTTTGCATGACTTATTCTCCTGTTGAATTGTGAAAACTGTGCTGTCTAGTATAACTTTATCCTGAATAATAGCCTCAAATCTCAGTTATAACAAGAGCTGTGTATGCTCCAAACTTCAACCACCACCACCACCCCAATTAAGTTGAGCACACCTGTATTAAATGTTGACAAAATCAGTCTCCATCTGTAACACTTGGAAGAT